AAACGCTTGTATCGTCTGGATGATGGCTTTCGTAGTTCTCAAGGCTTTTGCCTCATACAGTAGAACTGTTTTGACATTTGTATTGCAAATTCTGACTTTGGTGTGAGTTGACATTCATTTTGAGTTCCAGATGTTCTTCAGTTGTAAATATGCTGCCCTTGTTTTTCTGATCCTTGCCTTTACATCTGCATCAGATCCACCATGTTCATCAATGATACTGCCCAGATATGTAAAGGTTTTTACATCTTCCAAATCTTCTCCGTCAATTGTGACTGGATTGGTGCATGCTGTGTTGTATCGGAGAATCTTGCTTTTCCTTTTGTGTATATTGAGACCTACTGCTACTGAGGCTGCTGCTACATTGTTCGTCTTCTCCTGCATTTGTTGTTGCGTTTGGGATAGAAGAGCCAGACCATCTGCAAAGTCTAGATCGTCCAACTGCATCCTAGATGTCCATTGTATCCCGTGTTGCCCTTCAGATGTTGACGTCTTCATGATCCAGTCGATCACCAGGAGAAAGAGAAAGGGTGAGAGTAAGCAACCTTGCCTAACACCGGTCTTCACTTCGAACGACTTTGTCAACTGTCCTCCATGCACGATTTTGCAGTATAATCCATCATAAGAATTCTGTATGATATTGACTATCTTTTGAGGCACGCCGTAGTGTCGAAGAGGCTTCTATAGTGTTGTTCTTTCTACGCTGTCAAATGCTTTTTCGTAGTCAATGAAGCTGATGTAGAGTGATGAATTTCATTCAATTGATTGTTCCACAATGATCCGTAGATTTGCGATTTGGTCTGTACACGATCTATCCTTACGAAATCCAGCCTGTTGGTTCCGAAGTTGGGCGTCTACGCAGTCCTTCATCCTGTTTAACAATACCCTGTTGCATTGAGAGAAGAATATGTTGGATCTATATTACCCTATTATTACACAGCTAAATTAGAGTCAGATCAAAGGTACATTAAAAGCTCATTTTTACTCCTTTCCCTAAAATGATGTTTCAGGAGAATTTTTAAAAAATACCTGAGTTTACGAAATGACTGCTGACATGTTGATCACTTTTTGGACCAAGTAAATCAACTGTTTAAGTTCTATAGAGCGATTGTCCATTCCACTGAGGCCAACTTGAATATCTGGGCCATCTGTTTTTGACATCCAGATATTTCAACAAGTTATCTGTTTCTTGTTTGTTTTGAATGATCATAATGTCTATTGACAGCATGCTGTATTTCGGCGCGTCTGCATGACGTTTACAACCTTTCGCCGTACCAATCACATAATTGGTACGATCACAGACATCGTAGTAGTTGGCAATTCGCATTGGAAGGAATGAACATTGTTCGGATGTTAATTCCCAAACTGGTAATATCCAGCTGGCCTCACTCAATATTTATCGTCAAGATCGGTCAGTAATTAAGGGAAGGAAACTTGTTGAAATACTTTGTGCTGAGATTTCCATATTATACCAAAACAACGCTGGATAAAGCCATTTAGAGTAATGATAAGATTGAATGTAGACAACTAGACGTTGGAGTTGCATGTAATCTGCGAAGCTTTGGAATGTGGAACACACAGGATCGACACTTGTTTGTCCAGTAGCTGGTTATCTAGAAAATATGTGATAAAGTGTTTAGTTATACCTTTGAAATGTGTCACGTTACCTCATTTGGAGTGGAGTGCACAATAGTCAGGATCATATTTCTGATAGAATCTACTTTCGAAACCAGTCTTCCCAAAAAAATCCACAGAAGTCAATCTCCACAAGTACCGTCAAGTATATTCTTAATGGCTTGGTATCTAAAGATACAACCAGTGTAAACGTGCTTATTGATAAATGCCTTGACGGCCAGTGTGTTTTAAGGGTGGTGTAGTGTAAGTGGCCAAAGAAGCATGGTGAACCACCCATTTATAAGACTGACACAAAGCTGAAGGTTTCCATACGCAACGAAGGACCTCACATCTGCTCTCGTACAGGCGCATATAGTTATCACTGAGAATCTTTGTCACCCTAATTTTTTCTGTTTTCAATATCAATTGTTTCACACCATATCATACCTAAATGCAACATTTTAGTATATGTATGATTGTAAACAGCTGATGAGAGACCACAGAATATAGTAAATCCAAATTATTCTGCTTCAGTTGTCCTTCTGATTTTATTGATACTCACAAAAAGAGCCCATTACGTCAGGTACTACGAAGCAGTCTGTACTGCAACCGATGTTTGCCTACGATTCCAATTGTAACAGGTTGCCGCGAGGTGCTGAATGGTTGGTGAAATTAGTCAGGTATCTGAAGAAAATTTAATGATCCAAGAACGTTCTCAGCCCATACATGTGACAATTAAAGACTAAGGGACTGCGAAGGCAAAGTGATCTGTTTCTAAGGCTACTCGGTGGGAACCATGGGAAATTCGAAAACCAATCATAGTCCACATTATTCGGATCTTAAAAACGCATCAAGTGACTTAATCGAATGGTTGTAGGGGAAATCGTTGGAGTAGCGGGACGTTATAACCCTAGTGGTCTACACAGGTAATGTATATCCAGTCTTGAAGTGCAAGTAGTTATGATCTAGTTATACCAGCTAGTTTATTTCCGAACTGCCTGATGTTCTGTATCTGGTCAGTTATCCTCGACAGAGCTGAGGAGGGCAGAAGCTTCGAGTAGGGTTTTGTGTCCGAACCCTTATGGTTTGTCCCTGAATATTCCATTATTTTCCTGGAAAATATCCACAACCCAAAATTAATGTAGTGGTAAACTATCGGAATTTCTCTGAGCATAACTAACTGTTTTTCATGTAGTCTTAATCCGAAACGGTTATTGTTAAACTTTATATAGTCAAAAATGAATGTATTAAGATGTCTATGGGTCACATTACGAAATTTTATAGATTAAGCAGCCAGGTCTTGGGCTTGGAGGAAGATCGAAATGCTTAAGATAGTGATTAAATCCACGAATAACTTGGAAAAGACCTAATGAAATAGAAATAAAATTAAGAAGTCCAAGTTTTCTGTCCCGAAGACCTATAACCTCCTGGAAATAAAAAATCTGCGAAAGAATCTAAAGTAGGAACCTGATATCAAATGAAAGGTGCTCAAGGATTTAAATTTTCGGGCTCTTGAGGCGTCAGGTGCAAACGATGTCAAAACCACTTTTTGTAGCGTCACGAAGATATTTTAGTGGTATTCGGAACAAGAGATTTCTTGATACATAATTGGCGCTCTATGCATCCGATAAGATTATGACAAAAGTAACCAGCTCAGTCTCTAGGCAATAGGGTGTAGTGACCTACTTTTATCAAGAGAACTCGACTTGTTTAACGGAAACAATTATTATTATTATAACCAATCGTACCAGTGGTTGTTTTACTGTAAGTGTTTGTTTAACTGTACTAAAGACATTCTTCTTTCCATTGATTGTGACCTTGCACAAGCTTATGTTTGCTCAGTGGTTCCGCTTGTACTCTTTTAGCACGATCTCGGCATTCTTTCGATACCACGAGATCGCCAACAGACATATCTCGCCACAACCTGCAGTCGCCTTCTGATATCTGGTACGCAACCTACTTGTAGTGGTGATCATAGTCACGCCTCACTACAAGGGAACTAAATTTAGTAAATCTCTTACAAGTAATCGCTTGAAAGATTCAAAAAGCACCTATTGTAGACAAGGATATTCTGAGGACTATTTCACCGAAAACGTTCGAAAACGTCTGGCGAATGTGATTGTTAAAGTGGCCTAATTTAGTACGAAAGGTTCAATTTGATGCGACCCGAATCAATGTTGCCAAATCATATATTGCTCCGCCAAGAGGACGAGGTTTCACATGTCGACTATAATCCACCTGCAAGTAAGAGTGACTACACAGCTCACGTTTTTGACTTTCATATCGTTGTCAACAATGATATGCTAGCTCGAATCAAACCAAAATGCTGGACAGGAAACATACAAGAAAGTATACGAGCACTATCCGCTTCAGATCAAAAGACAGAACATATATCTTTTATAAGAAGGGTCGAAGAGATTAACAATAACTTTCAAGTAGAGGCTGCAACCTTATATTTGCCCCGAATAGTAGGGTAAAACTAAGAAACCCTCCACCGTGGCGCAGTACTGGGATTACTACATCTCACTGTGGGGGGGGGGTTAGACCACTAGACACTGACGGGACCAACTTTCAATATCGGGAAGCTAGAAATATTTGTAATACTATGCTATATAAGTCTATTTGTAAGTAAGGTGGAGAGATTTGCAATGATTCTTAAGTAAGCCTTAAACGTCCACATTCTCAAATGCACTGGAAAATGTTGAGGAGGGCGTTATCTCATCTACAGAGAGAGCGTTAGACATGTACATAAGAGAGACACAGAAGAGGATTTCCAGAACTCTTGAACTACCTACTGTCAGCAAAACGACGCAACCACACGATGTGAGGTTTATTATTTTTGTTATTATCCACAAAATTCCTATTCATATATAAGTATTCAAACCAATCATTTCGGATATCATCACAAAATGCCATTGTACACAATTATTTCAACAGGGTTTATATGATATTTACGATCTTTTGATATGTTTCGTTTAGCTCAGGGGAAAATAAGAGTGAAATCAAGACGTAGGTATTAATATGTTATATAACCAACCTGCTGACTGCGGTGGATAACCTTTCTTGATCGCACGGGGAAGTTTGGTGTCATTTACCTTGACTTCTCAAAAGCTTTTGATAAGGCCGACTATATATGTCTTATCAATAAGCCAAAACGGTTAGGTATAAAATCATCTCTAATTGGTTGGTTCACTTCATATCTAAAAAGTCGACGTTTTGAGGTTAGTGTTAACTTCACTTTCTCTCAGGTTATGGAATGTCCTAGTGCAGTCCCCCAGGGTTTCAGCACTAGGACTTCTTCTTTTCTTGATTTATATAAAAGATCTTCCACAGGAGGCATCTTCAGATTAGTCGCTTTCCGCTGACGAGGTGAAACTCTGGAGGGAAGTGCGAAACCGAGAGGACTAGGACAATATGTTACTATGATTTACCAACTTTTTTCATTCTCCTCGTTTATCGATAATATACCTAGGTTCCTACCCGGAGGTATTGGAGGTTCACTGCTACTAGATACGAAAGCCCGTTAAGCGAAAGCAATTTATATTCCATCTAGAACGTTTGAACCACTTCAACCATTTGAGAAACGCGCTACCTGATCTACGAAAGTGTGACTACCAGTAACATAAGGAAGTTCGTTTGTAAGTTTAGCTTTCTTCCGGAAAGCTTATCTCAGGCCTTATATCAGATGGAAAAGTTATTTAAACTCATTCAAACTTATTTGACTTGTTGCTTCGTTTACTTACATCTTCAAAAAGTACTATGATTTCGAATTTCCCAATCAACCAATGATTATTGGTTAATTTATTCTTCCTTTAAAGAGAAAACAAAGGGGAAAGTGCGTTAGAAAACAAAAGAGAAATCATAAGGAAACGCGCCAAAATGTCTGCTCGTTTGCTTTTCCGGAGGGAATAATGTGGATTCTCCCCTTTATGTCGGTCTGTTTTAAAAGTTGCTGAGTTGTTTACCTGTCGCAAAAATGCACTCCGATCCGTCTGCTTGTCGTCAAAATGCACGCTGAATTGTCTACTTGTCGCCTTAATATGAGCCGATTTGTCTGATTTTGCTTCAATTTTTAACACACCTTTGGCTTAACCCCAGACATTTTCGGTATTCGCTTTTGTCTACATAACACGCAATACAACAACTGTTATGGACGTTAAAAATAGTACATGTTTTAAAAAACGAAACGTCATGTTGTACAACGTTATAGGTAGTTGACAAATGCTAGAGCATCGATTGTTATGTAATTTGATTGTAATTGCCAAGTCTTATTGAAATTTGAAAAGATCTACAGAAGAAAGAACAGGTGATGTGTTGTTAATTAGGTACTTGTACTAAATTGCAAGTGCATTCAAAATCAAACAGGCTTTCTCAACACTTAGTCAAAACGTTCCCCATTCAAGTAAGAAAGTAAGCTCATGTTTAAAAAATGCTTATTGTAAACCAAGTTTAACATTAAAAATATTCCACTGGTTATTTCTTTTCGTAACTCCTGTTCTACTATTGAGAGTCAAAATAATCTTGTGAATTCTGAAATGGAAAGAACAAAATAGTTTACAACGATATCTAAATAACGTTTTTTTTTACATTAGCTACGTGAAGCGTTACTTACGGTTATGTTCGTTAACACTGAAGACTGTACCTATAGAACAGTGGGGAATAGTTACCACTTTAAATTAGTACACCCATGTCCTTGTTTTCTTCGATGACGCTTTTATAATTTGTCTCGTGAAAATAACCTTGCGCAGCGATGTCATACAGTCAGTCAGTCATTTAGTCAGCTACAACGTAGGACCAGGCACATATATGCATCGGTCCAGGTTGCCATACCTCATACAGTTTAGCGAAATCTTTTTCGTTGACAGATGATGACAGGAACAGACTAGTTAATGCACCTGAAGTTTAAAGAGCATATACTACTTCGTATGCAGCCGTAAAACATGCACTTCTGAAAATCTTTTTTCGATAAAGTGCCAAGTAGAGTGAAATGACTGGTAAGTTCAGGTGTCATGATGTATGACAAAATATATCGCATTGACATTTTAGGGTTACCATCAATTGACCGCGTCTACATGCCCATCTGTAATAAAAACAAATTAATTTTGTTGACTTACAAATCTCTCCCTTATGTCTTCCTCCTGAAGACAAGCGTCCAACTTTCCCTAGTTTCTCTTCAGATTATAACGGGAACTGCCGACTTGACAGTCCGCAATCGAGTTTTTGCGGATGTTTACGCCCACCAAACTTCGGCAGTAGCTTCTTCATATTGCCACTCAAGTTAAAAATACAGGACTATATGTTCTGTAGTACAGTATACAGTCTATTAAATCTCAGAAACTTAACTCAATCGGACACGTGACTTATTCGGCCGCTAACGCACTGCTTACACGCCTGAACTCGAACGTTGATGGCGACGTATCCAACTGTGTCGATCTAATTGATTAACATATTAAAAGTAAACAAGCCTACTTGGCGATCGGCGAGACAACACTGACGAACAACCGAAGTTTGTGATATTGGACATGGCTATTTCTAGCCTGCGTCTCCGCCACATCCGTCTCAACGGAATTGTAAAGAAACCTTTCTTTACGTATCAATGCATCTTTACAAAATATTAGTAAGATTATTGTACTGTCCTCTTCGGCTTCTCATTGTTTACTGGCAGGGTGTTTTCGTCCTTAGAACTGTTGATGTGGCAAACATCTAGTTTTTGAAGGAAACCAACAACTCCTTTGTAGCCTGAAGGCTATCTATAGGAAATTCTTGTTTCTGTGTTTGTAACTCACGCATTCGTGAATGACCTTACACCTCAGGACTGACCAATTTTCATCTGGTTGGTCAATGTTTTGCAGGTGCATATCAACAAGCTCCGTTGAATAGCGACAAAGTCCTTTCCCCACAATCCACTGTTTAACTGCAGTCATAAGCTGCCTCTTGCTTGGTGCGTCTACAATTACGTATTGTTTGTAAGCCGGCTAAATAGGACATAAGAGGTAAGGAAATGGTTTATGGTAATACCATCGGCAAAAATGAAACACAATACATTCACATAAGCAATGGAACAACCACTAAATACTTGACACAATCAAGGGCAATACATTTACAGTCAATATACCTGACGGGAACTCATGTGTGCTCATGAGTAACTACCGAGCACATAAATATTCCCATGTCACTAGAATGAAAAGAATCTTCGAAGTAGTTGCGTGGGTCTGTGAGTGACCTAAATTTCATTAATCCATGCTCCCCGACATCGATTACCAGACCAGGCTTTCAGTGTACTAGTACCACATTATCCCGCTTAAATGAAGCTATTTTAATATTCTTAAGCATAATTACTTGTTTGTGTGAGTCTACCTTACGGGTTATTAGTGTACTATCAGTCTAAATGCTAGCTTGAAACATATCACGGAAAGACGTCTCAACATATCCGCTATGCATTGATTTCCTAATTTCTCGAATGGGAATGCTGAAAAACAATCTTTAGATCTGTGTGCACGAATAAATAATAAAAAAATTATAGTTTAGGTGTATAGTGTTAATACCGTATAGAGCATATCAAACCAATGGAATAATCGCTGTCGTACTGCCTCAGGGACTCCATGATTTAGCATGCATACCCTCAAGTATATCAACAGACCAGTTATACAATTTAGTACTGATAATTTACAAACAATGCTCTCGAAAAATATTTGTTTTTATTGGATAGTTTCAGCGTAAGTGATCGCTTACCTATCAGCTAATTTTCGATATACTGGGAGTATTATATTTTTGCAGTTGATTTCAGCACTTGATAGGTACATTTTATCATTGCTCTTTCAGGTACCGATACTTGCAAATAAAATTTGATGCAATGAATCCTTATTCCCAAAACATCTGGTGAATTTTGAATTTCTGGACAGTACCATTCCTTTTATCCAAATGGATCTTGTTTACAAGCTTTACAAAAATCAGGAAACCTCGTATCTTCCACGTAAAATTCTCCAATCCCTAACATACTCTTTCATGGGATTAGCTTCAAAGATAGCCTTGTCACGTCATCATCTAAACGTTGTCGGTTCGGAACGCCTTTTACTGGCCATTGAAAAAAGACCTAGTAATCAGCCTTTGATTACAGTCAGCAATCACCATTCGTGTCTTGACGATTTTTTCTTGTGTGGTTCATTGCTTAAACTTAGGCATTTTGCTAATGGTATGTAGTATCACGACATTCAAGCATTATGAAAATATTTAGTAACCGTATGTCGTTGGTGCTTGACAGCTGTAGATATATGTTATACAACTTCGCTTCATACCAACTTCTTCTTCTGGTTCAGAGGAGTTCCTATATGGCGAAGGGTTCGTGATCCGCTATCTGGTAAAATAACTCACTTTGGTGGGGGGGTTTATCAACCTAGTATGGATTTTTGCATCAATTTACTAAATTCTGGCCAATGGGTACATGTATTTTCCCAGGTTTGTAAATATGATTAAGTTTAAAATATTTGGTAATTAATATTTGTGGTACCACAGTTGTGAGTTTAGTCGTTTTTAAAGTAGTTGCCTTTTTTAGTATGCTAATTTTTTTAGTTCATGTTGTATTAATTATATTGCCAAAATTAATGATTTCACTTTATTTCTAGCATAATTCCATACTAATATTTGCTTGCTTTCATTTTTCCAACTATTTTACATCATTTTATTTCCTCCCTCTCTTTCCAACTTTAGCAGTATAGATTGTGATATTGCTCAGAATAGTTCCTAGTGGTCAAGGTTCATTCACTCCTTATCTTCCTCTCGATCTTGAATCCAATTACTCCTTCATACTTACCCTTCCACTGTTTTTACGAGCTATATTTCAAATGTTCATTTGTCTTCATTATCACTGTTACTACATTTTTTCGGCCTCTTGTGTAGTTTATCATATAGATTTCATCTTTTATTGCATGTCAACTGGAGTCAACACACCCCTTTATCCGGCTCTATGTTGATAATGATTTGGTAATTTAAATCTTTCTGTGTCAATCAGTGTTTAGAAAAAATATCACTTTACGTACATTTTTAAGCATGGTAAAGGTATAATGAAAACGTGAATTGATAGTTCGTTATGATTAGTTTAGCAAAAGGTATTGTCCATCAAGGTTACCACCATATGACAGCACGTTTTAAAACATTGAGTAAAAGATTTTCTACCTCACTGACCAGTGACCTGAAGTATTGATTATTACTTGAGGGCCTTCCTGCCACTCACTCCACCTACTTTAAAACATAGCAATCTCACTATGTTCAGATATTTGATAATGTTGTATAGCACTGATTCCGTTGGATGCTTCTTCTATTGAGCCATAGTACTCAGAATTGTCTAAACCCATTAAGTCAGAGTGTTTATGCCTTCCACCGTTTGGACCTAAGGAAGAATTTCCACAAAAATTCACTAGTTAGTATATATTCAATTTTTTTATGTGATTAGCTGGAATAAGTGCCATTTATCTTTTGTTGTTGCGAATAAAACATTTGCTAGGAAATTACCAGTTTGTTAAGGTCCTTTTAAAATAAATCTTTGCTTTATAAGGTCGGCAAATGTAGATATATTAATTAGTGAAGCCCTAATCATCATTATAATTGTTATACTTTAGGGGAGAATTATTCAACCTCATGAACGTGGTTCTGAAAAAAATATTCGCCTGCGTTGGGGAATCGGACGGTTGATAGCCGAATCAAAAGAAGTAAGCTTTCGTAAGTTCTAGGTTTATAGTCCAACCTCACATTTTGCTCGTTCGTAAGCAATTTCCATAAAGTTTTGATAGCAGTATGGATTGTCAAAATATTTCATAAATATCGATAGTTAGGAAAATAACAGACGTTTGATATCTATCATATCTTCAGATAACAGCGCATTTAAAACGAATTTTATGTAGTCCCAACACATCTCGCACTATTCTAGTTCTGGCTGTGGGGGAAATAATCAAAGTAGCTATAAAAATATTTGAGGTTGAGAATTTTAGTAGCATAATACTTATGATTGTGTTATTTGGTATGAAATAGATTCGGATTGGAGTATGAAATAAGATGCAATATGTGTACGTTCTAATAAAGATGTACAACTCATTGGTGTGATAATGAGTGTGTTAGCATTTATGTTAATTATTTGCAATCGCGAAATGAGACTTAGATCAGAATGAAAAGGAAGGAACTGAATTGATGTGGAAGTCATCAGGAACATAGTTGTTTTAATTCATCTACAAAATACTTCTCAGAAATGTTAGAAGAAAATACGAATTCGAAATAGTCAAATGTTTATTGCTTCAGATAACATCAAGTTTTAGACAAAAATGCGAATAGTAGCTTCCAATGATGTTTACCTTTTATTTATTAGTTTTTTAGTAGTATCGAGTTAGGTTTCTACAGAATCGTGTTTCGTTTTCACACCTCATTTCTTGTTAATGGAATATTATTGTGGATCTTTTTAAGGAACATTGAAGTATCCCGACATCTGTTTCATACTCCACTTTTTTAATTCAACTTTAAGTTCAAGATGGTTTCACAATTCCTCTCAGTTTTCTGTTTTCAGCTACCATTGCTTATATGTGCAAAAATCAACTTACATTTTAAATTCTGATTTATCTATAGCACAATATAACCATGGTACTTGTCGTTTGTATCATTTTTACCGACAAATCGTTTTGGGTAATTAGTTGCTTCAAACGCGAACAACTTGTTCTGCCTCTGTTACGAAAAAAAGCTTTTTTAGTAAATTCTCGGCAGCTATTAATCTACTAGTTAATATATATACTGCATTGATATCTAAATATATCCTTATATCAGTCAGCCACGAACAATGTAGGTCTTCAAATGTCTCTGCACTGTCTTTCAGAAATATTGCTCTTCATCGTTCTGTTTCTCATTGAACCAACTGTCAAACAAATTCCATTTTGTAACCATCGAATTCAACTTTCCTAGATAAATATAATTCTGTCCTGTTTAAATATCTAGATAAACCTCTTATCAAAATAACGATGTGATATCTACACACCCCAACCATATTCTTAATAAACTGGTGCATTCTAGCATTTATTCATATGTATCCGTTTTTGATCTAATAGACTTATTGATTTGTTGACTAAAGTTAATATGACGCACATAAGCTCATACCACTTAAAAACTTGATTACAGACTATCTAATCAACCTTATGAAATGAAAGTGCGTCAGTCATAAGTTGATTGAATAAACATATTTCTTAAACGTCAAAATATTCCTTCTTTTCCCCTCAGGACCCACTTGTAATTCCTGTTTGGCATTGCGGTCTAGATCAACTAAATCCTTCTGAGGTTCCGAATACGTCTACTACGCTGTCATGTATATTTGGAAAACCGCGTCAACTGACTGTTGTAGTAGGTAAACCAATCGATACCCATGGTTTGCGTCAAGAATTAAAGAATAATTCATCTGAATATTTGGCGTCATCAGAATTTCGTTCACATATTCACTCTATGTATACTCAGGTTGTCCAAGAACAGCTATACAAACTCAAAGAAGAAACCGAATTTGAGCATCAAAGACCAAATCTGATCTAAAAACTGTGAATAGCTTTATTAGAAGTCTACTTTTTTACCTTATATTTTTAGAATTGTTATAATGAATAAAACGTTCTTCCTACGTGTTTTCGCGTCCTGATTGGCACATGTTCACTGAAACCTACCCTACCGATCTTTGCGGATTAGACAACTCGTTTCTCATTAAAAATCTAGTAATCGGTAAACCAATTTCGCCACACCCTGTCTATTTAGATAGATAGTTTTTTTCAGTTGTCTTTTTTATCACCAGAAGATTTAATAATAAGAATTGTGATAACAGTCTTTTTGCCACAGGCTGAAGTACTTCGCGTTTCATAATTGTTTGTCCACTGGTCTCGTTTATAATTTCTGTCAAGCTATACACTTATAAATACAATGAAAACTGACCAGGATGTCTCCATACTGTCGACGTAAATCTCTGGTTCTTTAGTTAAGTAGACTATCTTATCAGCGCCTTTGGAACTTATTTGCGAAAAAGCCGTTTTCCTTGTGATATACTTGGCTTTTTTGGATCTTGATTCAATTACACGTCCTTGCGCTTTTATGGATTCAAACTTGAAACGTTTACTTCAGTCAAAAAATTGCAGGTGCGTATCATGATGAGCTCCATAAAAATTTCCTACCTTTTGAAGAGAGGAGTGTGCTTTTCGTATGATGTATGTTAGGTACATTATGTATATCTTTATATTTTATGATTAGAATCTACTAAGGATATTATTAGTCACGAATTGGCCTCTTCAGAGTTATCAACGTCTTAGAGTATCACTGTTATTGTAGACATGCCTTACCGACTAGTCCAGGGTGTATTCTCTTCAATCACTTAATACTGTTTATCAGTACTTTAACTTGCTAACCTTGTTTTAACGACTTTTTTTCTGTGTAGCTTACTTTTAAATTAGATATCAAAATAATCATCTCGTTAACTTTTTTACCTATCTATCTCTTGGTTAAGCGGTGTCAATTAATTTTTATTAGATACAATTATATCTCAGAATTTAGTTTTAGAAAACCTCATTTGATCTAACATCCACAGTAGCATAAGTCTCCCGCTTTAAACAATCTATTTTGTAATGATTTTAACAGATAAGATTAGCTCTGTTGTGTTACACTAATTTGTCTTGAGTGTGAATATTAAAATGTGAACTGTTGTGATTATGTATTTTGATACATCTCTTAAAACGAGTAGGAACTGAAGTAGAACAGTTGTTTAAAAATCGGTTACAACGTAGGGCCAGGCACATATGTGCATCGGTCCAAGTTGGCATATCTCATTAGCACAGCAAGATGAACACCAAATTCATAGAAGTAGTTAATTCAATGGTGGTAATATATAAAAGAAATATTGCATATAAGGATATAGTACAGGAAGAAAGAGTTAGTTGGTAGAAAGAAAGATATAAAGCAATTTTAATCTCACAGTTTAAGAGAGAATAAAGAGTGTATACACTTACGCCACCGTGATCCATTCTGAGCTGTCACCAAGTCTCCAACCATTGGTTACGATAGTCACGCGGACCCCAACCAAGTAGTCTGCATCTACAGACATAACTAAGACTAGAAGTTAGTGACTTCAAGCACTGATGCCATGTTTTGGTTTGGCCACCCTCACCGTTCTTCCAACCATCCCCTACACCAGTCAGCACGCGCGTCGTGGTAATCAGTGTTCATGTATACATTACCAAACCATCTCAGTCGATGAAGATTCACAACCTCATCAACTGACTTACCATCATTCCCTAATACCCTTGCGTCTAACCTTACTATTACTTAGCTGGTGATCACTGCAGATGAGAGCAATATTTCTAAGGCATCTGTGGTCAAATAGTAGTAGCTTACGAGTATCTTCAACTCTTAATGGTCACGTTTCGTAGCCGTAAAGTAGAATAGAACGAACTGCCGCGCGCTACACTCGTCCCCTAATTGATAGACGGCTATCTCGCCTTCGCCATAGGTGACGTATGTTGGCGAAAGCCGAAGGAGCTTTTCAAATCCGTGCTGAGGTTTCGTCAGACACGAACCCATTATGGTTGGTCAGACTTCCAAGATGAGTGAAGTCGTCAACGCGTTCGACTATTTCACTCCCTATCCTTAGCTCAGGTGTTGACGCAGACCAGTCATGAAGCAACAATTTGCATTTAAAGGGAGGGAAGCGCACCTCAAACATTTTGATATTGTTGCTCAGAGCTACCAAAAGACTGCACTTTATCAGCATCTTCACGAAACAGATCTATATCATCTGCGCATGTAAAGCAAAATTAAGCTTTCTGTGTTTCCATATTCTCAAGTTGTCATCAAAATGCGGATATTGTGTTCTGCATTACTAGAATAATTCTAATTTTAAATGTATAACTATCAAAACAACTTGAAAAGTATGGGCTAAAAGGGATGAGGGTCTTTCGACAAGAAAGTAGTTGGCAAGATATACTCTATTTCATTGTCTTTAGCAGTTTTAGTTTTTCGTTTGGTACGCTTCCAATGGTTATTTTAAGAACTGACGATGTGAAGAGATTTCTCCTTTCATTGTTTGTTCTGACCAGGACGTCTGATCAGTGCGGCAGTCTGTTTGTCCGCCTGCGAGATTCCAGTAAAATCAAGAGTTACTAGGTTTGGTAATATTGAGAGAACCGTGTGAAAGTAACCCTGCAGAAAGAAAAAAGCACTGAACTGAATGAAAATTACTATGTAAAATGTTGACGATCTTAAGGTTTATCGGTTTCTAATAAAGGTTTTTTCACCACTATTGATTACTACGAACATGATGCTCCGATCATAAAAATACTGCCAGTTTATTAATAATAATTTCTAAGTCGTACATCACACACATGCGAAGGAAATTAAGTTTGTCCTTCCTCTTATACTTTTAAGAGGTCTCTGTCCATATCTACTATCGTGTAATCCTCAAACTGAAATGTCAATTTTTAGTGTTTGAATCATGCATATGTTTTAGTGAACGATTCTTTTGACCATGATCGTCGTCACAGTATGTATGATGCCAAAAGGAGTTATCTCTACATTGTAACAGGTTTGTTGTGAATTTCTTCAAGATAAGCCTGCCTACTCTAATTCTAAAGACTAGGGAAAGCACGGCCCTTCTAAAATTACGATATTTTTAGTTCCCTCATTTCACACTTATGTAAACCACTCACAACAAGAATTTGTACTACGAAATTCAAGGCCTTGTTTCGAGCCCTTAGGTGTTTATAAGAGGCCGTTTTAAGCCTACGAAATGTATAATGATACTTGGCAAAAAGCCACGTAATTGACTTAATGATGTCGCAATGAGAGTTGGGACGTATGTTTTTCTAAAAAACGGAACAACAGTAGCTGTTTCAGTGAACTGACATAAGGCATTACCTTCTCCTTTTCAATGGGGTTGCCATGTAACGTAAGTTTCGTAAGCTTCGGTAACTGCTTGAGTTTTGTCACTTCCTGGAGCGTTGCTATTTTATTTCCATGCATATAGATGATTTTCAGGTGTTTAAGACTACTAAAAGACTGAGCTAAAATTGAAAGTGAAAATCAACTACAATTTACATTTGGAATACTGGGTATGTTGTTACAAGATATATCTAACCACGTTAAGCTGGACGTGTCTCCGAAAAGCTCATGAACCACAACAGGTAGTTTAGAAATGTCCTCTATTTGGTTGTTATTTATTTTCAGAGTCTGAGTAACCCATTTTTCATTTATATCCTTTTTAATGACAGAATTGCTACTAGGTATTATTCTCGGACAACACATAGTTAACTCTGTTTAAACGTGCAAGTGTTACTGATATTTGTAATACCTGATACGTTTTTTATATTCAGAAACGAATAATCCAAAGGCTGAAATATACCTGATCTCTCACTTAATTGTGTTTCATCACATTTTTTGTCAGCCCTAAACTGAATTTACATAGCCAATTTTTTCTTACAATCCAGTCATATCACCTCTAGTATGTATTCTCTAGCCTTAACGTAATTTTTGTGGTGGTGAAATGTTAGGTGCAGTGATCCTTAGTGAATCTGGAAGGGAAATGTGAGCGATTCGCCCAGTAAGTACGTAGAATACACTTACGTTTAATGAGGTAATTAACTAAAGCAGTCAGTAACAACACAAGCGTACGATTAATGCAATTTATTAGTCGAGACTATGAAATGGTAGTGCAGTTTGGAATGGGCTGCAACAAAGTTACTCAAAGTGCGCTGGCGGCGTTTCCTTGACAGAAATGAGTAAAACGTCTAATTTCCAATAATGTAATGGACAGTTTGTATAAATACTCGGAGTATCTTATACAAGTTTTTATGTTGACATTCGCTGGTTTTGGGATGTTATGAGTCGCCGAGCCTCCACCTTTGGGTACCCTATATTCTACTAAGAATCGATCTACTATTCTCAGATTTTTGTAATATCCATGAAAAGGCTACGAACTGATTCCAAAACAAATCTATGGTGACATATATTCGGTGATTTGTGTAACAACAAAAATAAAAACCACATTTTTATCTAATGTGTCACACTTTATTTGTAACTACATTTTTATTCAATATCTGTTGTTTTGCTGTATCACTTGTTAAAGGACGATGATAATTGTTTCGATGAATGATATACGATTCTACTACCGCGTTGTTTAAAATATAGAAAACTATCTACGCCGTTTGTTCTTCTGTTTTATTGGCCACCGTTTTGATTAAAGACTATAATAGTATTATAACATCATTATAGGCCTTCCGACTCAACGTTGGATTTTTAACGCGGATTACTATTGTATAATACTATTGGACTCCGTCTTTTTCATTACGTCATTGGTGCAGTCACTTGCAGAGGAACACCTGTCAATCAAGTGAACTCAGTTTGTGGTCGTTGTTCTCACGAGGAAGTTCACAAGTAACATTCATTCTTTAGTAACTGTTAGTGTCTGTTTAATATACCTTTTGTATTGCTAACGGTATTTTGTTACCTTTGGTTTTACTAACGGACAGACATCTAGGTTTCTTTACTATTAATTTTTGGTATATCATTATTAACCTAGTGTATGAATACATTTTGTATAAGCTCCTTTTTTTGGGAACCACCACAAATCTTTGGGTACACTACAAA